AACAGTAAAAAATATTGGGTTTCTGTTGTGATGGACTCTTGTGACGAGCCGATTGACAGATGATGGAAGCAGTTAGCTAAATCTATACATCTTAAAATTGCAGAGGTTGGGAAATGCTGGTTTAAAAAAGCATAGCAACCAAAGAGTAAAGTATCCAGATTTGTGACATTGTCATAGTGTAAATAGTACTTTTACAGATTAGCCAGCATTGCACATAGTTCCATGTCAAAATTTGTCATGTAATTTTGTACCATACAACATATATGTATCTGAACAATTATACATTTACTCTAAACATTTGGAAATAAGTAGCATAATTTACATTGATAACAATAAAATAGTTGGTTTTGTTCACTATTCAAAACATTTAGTAAAATAATTACAAGAGTGCTTTGCAACTATAAGCCAATTCATATATTTACATCTTACACTCCTGTGGTTTACAGGGCATCAATTTAAGTAGCATTTCGGTAATGCCTTATTATAGGAAATGGATATGAAAATCAAATTCCAAACAAGAAAAGCAGTTTCCAAATTTAATCCTATACTTGCAGAAACAGCCTTGTTTTAAAGAACGGGTGAGGCACTTTGATGTCTATTTAGCAACACTTTAAAGCTCTAGCTGCTTACTTTTGTGTATCGATGAGGGAACTTCATTGTACTGATTATGTTCATATTAAGCAATGCATCTCCATTCACAGTTTCTGCCAATCCACCTCGTTTATCCATAGTGGAACTATGAGGGGGGAAAGAACAGATACAAAAAACACATCTTGCAGCTTGTCTGAAAAAAACAGTGCAACAAAGTTTCACTCCAAGTATCACAGTGTGCCCAAGTTGAAAGGCTCTTTAGTGCAGGGCAGGAAACCTCCCTGGGTGGCCACCAACTTCCCCAGCTGAGCATCTGCAGATTGTTTTACTGCTGCTCTTAATAGTCAGAAAATTCCTGCTCCAAGTCTCCTTTCATTTCGGCCTACTGCTCTCCTGCCCTCGGCTCAACCCTCCTGCACGCCAGCCTTTCCACAGCCTCTTCGTCTGCAACCTCAAGACCCACCCAGTCCTCCTCCTGGGCCTGCTTGCTTCAGAGGAGAGCAGCCAGAATGAGACCCAGGCAACCTCTCCAAATCCTTCTTCAAGTGTAACGCTTCACCACACACTCCAGATCAAACAAGACAGCTAATAAGGTTGCCCAGATGCCTTTTGCCCTGTTGGCCAAGGCGGCCCACTAATATGCCTCTGTCCAGTTGCCAAGCCAAGCCCCTCCAGACTCCTCCTGATTTCGTGTGAGCCCCCTAATGCAGCCCCCCTTCAACTGAACCTCCGGCTGAGGATTGAAGCCCAACGGCCTTTTCTCACTTTGACCTGCGATCCTGCTCCGAAAGACCGAAAGTGAAGACTGCAAATGACCCCCGCCTAGCAAGGCCCGGATGGGCGTTTGGCGGCAGAGAGAGAGAGAAACTCTGGATGAAAACTCGGAGGTTTTCAAACGGCTTGGCTGCTCAGGCAGGACGGCCGACGGGCAGCCTCCCACCCAGCCCCCTAGGATGTTCGGAGGCAGCGCCCAACGGCCCCCCAGTGGCTTCCAGAGGGCTGAGCCTCCCGCCCCGGCCTCGGACCGGCCCGCCACCCGCAGCCGTTTCGCGTAGGGCAGGCAAGGCACCGGGGCAGAACTTGCACGGACCCCCCCCCGGCAGCGCCGAGGCCGGGACTCCTGCGGGGGCGGCAGGAGCGGTAGCGACGCCTGGACCCGGAGCGACACGCGGAGGGGCTGGAATGAAGCCGCTTCTTCGTCGGGGGCCGCGTGGCAGAGACCCCCACCCGGCAAGAGACGCCGCAGCGGAGACAGCCGCGGAGGCGCCCGGCCTGACAGTCCGCGGGGGCTTCGGGGGCGCACGGCCAGGCTCAACTCGCGGCGGCGGGCGGCCTACCTGGCAGGGGCGTTGTGAAGTTATCACCGCGCGCCGGAAAACCGCGCGGGCAGGCGAGACGAGACTGCGGGGCTAGGGCCCGCACGACGGGAGGGGTTTTCCTGCGCTGTCGAGCAAGGCCTAGGCCGTCCCGGAAGACGGAGCGCCGCACCGGCAGGTGACTCAGCGGGTGCCTCACCTGGGCCCGGCCGCCTAGCGCCCCCCGCTGCCGCCGGGCTCCCTTCACGCGCTCGGGGGGGGGGGCGTCTCCGTTCGCCGGCCTTCTCCCCCTCAGGCCCAGGCACCGCACCGGCCGCCGCTGCTTCTTTCGCCGCCGCCGCACTCGCCCCTGCCTGGCCGCTCTGGACTCGACCCGCCGCTCCGTCCGTCTGTCCGTCCGTCGGTGCGCGGCTCCCGCTCCGCGTCTCCTCAGCCACTGTAACCGGGGCCTCCGTTACCCACCCCTCCCCCTTTATAGCTACGGCGCATGCGCCAGGCACGCGCCCCTTCCTCTCCCTCTCCGCCTCCCGCCGCGCGCGCGCAAACGGCGCCCTTTTTCCGATGGCCTTGCTCGAGAGTTGCCCCTGGCGCTCGCCTGACGGGAAAACGCGGCTTTCCCGCGAATGTAGGCTCAGAATGAGGAGCGCAACCCCGAGAAGCAGTCTTTGGCAACTGTGTCGGCGTTGGGGCGTACGTAACGGGCGGCGGGTGGGTGCCGTGTCGGGTCGGCGCGGGAAGGGTCCTTCAGGCGATCTAAAAGAAAGCCCGCTGAGGACACCCCCCGAGGAGGCGGGGCCACGCGCGAACGGACGGCGGCCGTGTTGGGACCGCGCTCATCCGGCGCGAAGACGTCCGCGGAGGCTTCCAGCGGGTCCGCACAGCCTTTCTTCCGCGCATCCAGGCGCGTCCCCCGGGCCGGCTGCGGACGCTCGGGCGACGGTGTGCCGCTTTAGCCGCTGGGCTTCTTCGGGCTGGAGGGGCGAGAGGGGCTTGGCCGACGCGGTTCCTCGGGCATCTTGGCGGGGGCGCGGAGAGACGCTCCCTGGAGGCACTCTGCGTATGCCCAGAGAGCTCTCGTCGCTCCAAACCGGGTCCTAAACGGTCCTTTGAATGTGCGAACTCAGGACTAACTGATCTCCTCTTTTCCCCTGCGACCCGCCAGAAAACCGGGGCTCTGCCTGGACGGAAAGGGCGCCTGATGGAGAGGCAGGGCCGGGGCAGGTGAGGAGGGCCGACTGCGTTCCCCTGTGTGGCGGGAAGAGGGAGGCCTTTTGGGGGGCAACGGAGGGACGTCTGCTGGGGGGGGGGGTGTCAATGCTTGGGAAGGTACAATTTATAAGGACTGTGAACGGCAAATAAAGCCTGGCTGGTGGGAAAGAGCAGCAGGGTCCTGCATTGCCTTCAGATTTCACCACACCGGCCGGTCCTTGCTTACCGACCGCTCATTCTGTGACCCTCCAAAATTAAGCACTCAGATGAAAACGAGACTTACAGAGGGTGGTTGAAGTGGCGGCATTGCAGCGCTCCCTCCTGGTGGTCTGGAGAAGGATGCAGGAAGTAGCAAGTCGGATGTTGCCTTCATTATTAGGAACACCCCCCTCCCAATCGTTAGCAGGATGCAGTCACATGATGTTTCATTTTATGACCACATGGCTTAATGTCCAAATTACAGTTGGTAAGTGAGCACCACCTGTTGTGATTTCATTGAAAGGAAATGTTGAGGGACTAATACCCTTTACATTTGGCTTCTACGTATTTTGTCTGCCAAGCCCCCCCCCCCCTCAACTGAATATTGAATGTGGTTTTTGCAGAATTGTAGAGAATGCATTGTGTCTATGTAATAATTGTTTTTCTATTGACTAACGGGTGAGCCTTTGGTTTCACTCTCATGCTGGCTCAGGAATTCTGGAAGTTGAAGTCCACAGGTCATTAGGGGCCCATAGTTGTCCAGCCTGCTTTAGAAATATTATCTCAATTTGCATATTTTACTAAGCTATTGTATGGTTTGCTTGGTTTTGATTTAACCTATTTAGGGAACCCAATTATTGCTTCCTATCTGCCTTGGACTGCAAATGCACTTTTTAATATCAAGTGAGCCATTACTTCTAAACTGCAAGTAGTCCTTGGTTTACAACTGGTCATTTATGACAGGCCTACTTTGGGGCTAGTTATGACCCAAATTTGAAATTCTGACCCTCCCCATAATCACGTCACCAGACTTCATGTGCTTGGCAACATGGCCTTATTTAACCCATTTGCAGTATCCTCTGGTCACATGACTGTACTTTATGATGGTTTTGCCAAAACCTGACACTTCTAGTGTTTGGCAGAACCATACCCATAGTAAACCAGGTTTGTTTCATGTTCATAGCATTTGCTAATGACCTCAGCAAAAGAGGTCATGAAACAGGCCGGTCACTTGATTGACCTGTTTTATGACTGTCATAACTCTGACCATGATGAATAGGCCTCCATTGCAGTTATAAGTCGAGGAATTCCTTCAGTGTCTATCTTAGCATTAAATTATGTGGAGCCTGAATTTCAGGCAAGTTGTTTTAAAGAAGCTGACTTGTCTGCAAATTCTGTCAACAATAGAACTGGAAAAATTGAGCTATTGTAGCAGAAAAGGTGCTGCAAAGAAATAACAGAGATGGAAGGGATTTTGGAGGTCTTCTAGTCCAACCCCTTGCTCAAGCAGAAAACCCTATACCATTTCAGACAAAAGCTTGTCCAATCTCTTCTTAAAAACTTCCAGTGATGGAGCACCCATAATTTCTGGAGGCAGGTCGTTCCACTGATTAATTGTTCTGTCGGGAAATTTCTCCTTAGTTCTAGGTTGCTTCTCTCCTTGATTACTTTTCATCCATTGCTTCCTGCCTACCTTCAGATGCAGGATTTCTGATGATATGACTCATTTCTGAAATAATTGGTGTTTCTGTATCTATATAAAATAGTGTTAAATTATATTTCTAATGATAACAATTATGGTTTTTGTTTTAAAGTTCCAAGTTTCAAAAGGCACAGAAACCACATAAAGAATGTGTGGGCCGTCAGCCAATACCATCTCACCCGAACAGAAATTCAGGGCAAAGTGGGAATTGTCGGATCTTATATCGTGTGATGTATACCTGGAACCGAGGTGGGAGGTTGAAAGAACTTCGTATTAGGTAAGAATGAAATTTGGGTTATGTGTATTTTCTGTTACTTTGAATGACCCATTAGAAATGGCAGGTGTATGTAAAAATTAGATCTTGAAATGTAACTTTTGAAATGTGTCTCCTGCTTTGCCCACCTAAGCATCTTTCAGTGATTTATGTTTGAAGCATAAATCACAGTAACTGGAATACATCGAAAGTTATGTCCCAATAATATAGGTTCAGAGAAAATATGACTTAGAAGGGATCTAAACCAGGGGTGTGCGACCTTGTTGACTTTAAGTCTTATGGACTTCAACTCCCAGAATTCTCCGGCTGGCCATGGGAGTTGAAGTCCACAAATCTTAAAGTTAACCAGGTTGGACACCCCTGATCTAAACCAACTTCTTGCTTATGAAGGCATTTCCCAGTAAGTGCCACAAATTGTTTTAGCCGAGGTGACTGCTATTTTCCATTTGACAGTTTCAAAAGAAGAGAGTGCTGTTTAAAAAGACCTTTAAGCATCTTTTTAAAATTAGTTTTAATAGATTTTACAAATGTTTCCCCTTCCCTCTCTCCGCCCCAACCCTACCCCCCCTCCAACCCTCTCTCCCCCCAACCTTCCAGAGCAAAATACAGGGTATAAACATTTAACAATCATACACTAACATAANGTATGTATTATTTATTTCATTTAAGGCATTGCCTGACTCCAGACAAACTCTGGGTGGCTCATAATCAGAGGTAGTATTCAGCCGGTTTGCACCAGTTCGCACGAACCGTTGACGGCCATTTCCCTGAGGTTGGAGAACTGGTAGCGATGGCTGGGTGACCAAGCCCTTGAACTGGCCCCCCTGTCACTGCTCACCTGCCTGCCACTAGCTCTCACTGCCTGCCTGCCCACCACTCACTCAACCCCCACCACCACTCGCTCGCTCCACCCGCCACTCACTCGCCACTCACCCCACCCATCTGAGCCCTATATATGCCTTTGCCACATGGCCCAGCCCCCAGCTATGCGCCTCACAAGTATCCTCCATGCCTCGACCGTTCTCTTCAGCTCACCAAAGGTAAGTAAGCATCACTTACCTGGGGTCGGGGGATGGGGATGGGGCCCTGGATATGCAGCATTCCATGAGGTCCCAGAGCCACTGCCCTCTTGCCGCCTGCCTGAATCAGGTCGGGGAATGCACCATTCCTCGTATCCAGCCTTGCCATCTCACCACTGCCCTCTTATCACCCACCTCGGCCAGGTCAGAGAATACACCATTCTCTGGCTCTGACCTTGTCCTGGAACTGCCACCCTCTCGCCACCCTGCCCTCCCTATGGCCCCAGCCCTAGTCCTGCTTTGAGTCACTTTCTTTGTGATGGGCTACTTACCTTCCGCAATGGCTGGTCCAGAGTCCATTGGACAGCAAGCTGACCAGAGCTGGGAAGCAGCTGGCTGGCAAAGGAGCCTCTCAGCTGCTTCTTTGAGAGCCAGCTGGGAGGCTTCAAAAGTAGCCGCGGCTACACTCAGCTCATGGTGGCCTGGCTCAGGACACCAGCAGGAGCAGGGTGCTTTGGCTGAAATGCGGGAAGGCCCATCAGAGGTGAGAAGGGATGCTCCTGCTGCAGCCATTGCAGAAGCCGTCTGGACGATCTGCTCCCCGCCTCTCCAGGCCAGGCCTGCAGACTGCAGACTGAGGCTGCTGCCACCACCCGCTCCCTTTGTCCACCGGGGCAGCGGGAGCAATGGTGTGGTCAGGTCACCGGCTCTCAAAGAGGCAGCTGAGAGGTTTCTTTTCCAGCCAGCTCTTGGCTGCTGGCCGCAGGGAACCAAAAAGTCCTCCAGTCAGCCGGCGAGAAGAAAGCTGCTGCCTTCTTTGCAGATGCGATTATTTTTCAATCATGTCTGATTCTTAGAGACTGACTGAACAAGTCCCTGCAGTTTTCTTGGCAAGGTTTTTGAGAAGTGGTTTACCATCACCTCCTTCCTTGGACTGAGAGAAAGTGACTGACCCATGGTCACCTTGCTGGCTTCATGACTAAGGCAGGACCAGAATTCACAGTCTCCCAGTTTCTAGCCTGATGCCTTGATAACTATAGGTCTTTGATTTACAACAGTTTGTTTTGTGACTGTTCAAAGTTACAATGGCACTGATGACTGTTTTTCACACTTATGAAGTTGCACCATCTCCATGGTCATGTGATCAAAATTCAGATGCTTGATTCATATTTATGGCAGTTGCAGTGTCCTGGAGTCATTGTGATCATCTTTTGCAATCTTTTGACAACCTGAATCAATGAGAGGTCAGATTTAGAACAGAATAACAGTGTTGAAAGGAACCTTGGAGGTCTTCTAGTCCCACCCCCTGCTCAAGCAGGAGACACTATCATTCCAGACAAGTGGCTGTCCAATCTCTTCTTAAAAGCCTGCAGTGATGAAGCACCCTCAGCTTCTGAATTAACCTGTTCCACTGATTAATTGTTCTCAATGTTAGGAAATTTCTGCTTAGTTCTAGGTTGTTTCTCTCCTTGATTAGTTTCCATCCATTGTTTCTTGCTTTCTGGTGCTTTAGAGAATAGGTTGGCCCTGCCTTCTTTGTGGTAGCCCCTCAAATATTAGAACACTGCTATCACGTCACCCCTTCTTTTCATTAGAGTAAACAAACCCAATTGCTGCAATCATTCTTCACATGTTTTAGTCTCCAGCCCCCTAATCATTTTTGTTGTTTTTTTTCTGCACGCTTTCCAGAGTCTCTAATCTTTTTATATTATGGTGACCAAAATTGGATGTAGTATGATCTTACTAGTACTTTATAAAGTGATACTAATGCTTCACATGATCTTGATTTTATCCCTTTATTAATGCAACATAGGATTGTATTGGCTTTTTTGGCTGCTGCTGCAAACCACTAGCTCATATTTAAGTGATTGTCCACTAGGACTCCAAGATCCCTCACACAGGTACTGCTATTGAGCCAGATTTCACCTTATCTACATCTGTAAATTGGGTTTTCTTGCCTAACTGTAAAACTTTATTTTTCTCTACATTTTGTTGGATAGGGCCCACTGTTCAAGTCTGTCAAGATTCATCTGGATCTTGAGCCTATCTTCTTGGGTGTTGGCTACTCCATGCCAATTTAGTATCATCTGTAAATTTGATGTGTTCCCCTTTTATTCCCTCATCTAAATAGTTTAGATGAGGGAATAAAGATGTCAAAGAGTACTGGGCCTAAAAAGGAACCTTGGGTTGGTTACTTCCTTCCATGTAGACAAAATTCCGTTAAGGACCACAGCTTGAGTGTGATTTGTCACCCATTTACCTGGTGGTGATGTCTATCCTTCATTTTTTTTAGCTTACCAAGCAGTTGGTTTTTAAATGCCTTACTGAAATCAAAGTATACTATAGCAATAGCAATAGCAGTTAGACTTATATACCGCTTCATAGGGCTTTCAGCCCTCTCTAAGCAGTTTACAGAGTCAGCATATTGCCCCCAACNGGCATTTTCAAACCTCCTCTTTCACGTATGTCTTGCATTATTTTAAGTTTTATTCTCAGTTTCTTCCCTGCCGAAACAAATTTATTAATACCTTTCTGCCATTCTTCCAAATTTGCATCTTTTTTGAGTATTGGTATCATTTGAAAAAGAAACAGAAACTTAGGCAAAACGTTCATTTTTACTGCTGCTATCCTTCCCAGCAAAGACCATTGTAATTTTTTTCCATGTATTCATCTCTGTCTGTATTTTGTGACATAATGGTTCATAATTATACTTATATAATTTCCCATTTGAGGTTGTAATATAAACTCCTAAGGAGTTTATATTACCCTTGCCATTGTTTTGATACTGCCCATATACCTGAAAAAAAGATAAAGTTAAAAAACTGCAGTAGTAAAGAAGGAGGAAGAGAGGACCAGGAATTTAGAGCTGAGGTGGCGCAGTGGGTAGAGTGCAGTACTGCAGGCTACTTCAGTTTGACTACAATTCTCCTCAGTCAATACATTTATCATTTTTTTCTTCTAATTGAAAAATATAGTCTAACAAATTCTCCTCTGGTCCTTCCAATATGCTGAACAGTGGTGGGATTCAGCCTGTTCGGGCTTGTTTGGGCAAACCAGTTGTTAAATGGCTGGCTGGCCCGCCCCTTCCTGTCCCGCCCCTTCCTGCCCTGCCCCTTCCAAGAGTCCCATGCACCCCGTTTTGGCTCTCAGGTGATGTAGGGAGGCCTACTAGCCCAAAATGGGGCATTGGTCCCCCCACAGTCCATTTTTTGATCCCAGTGGGGTGCAGGAGGCTGAGTGCTGTCTGTCACTCCCTCTAGCTATGCACACCGTGACCTCACCCAGCCAGCCGGTCATTAGGTCAGAGAGCAATTGTTAAACTATTTGACAACCACTGATGTTAAGGCGAGCCAAATCTTTAACTGGATCATTATATATACAGCAGAGAATATTGTGTTCATCTTCTAAACAATGAAAACCACAGAATGACCAGGCATGTGTACGAACTTCTGCGCATCTTGTTTTGTGGCACACATTTCAACATTGGGACGTAGAGAAATTGGGACATAGAGGAAACACTTTCTAAATCCTATATGTACTATTCAATTGAATTCAATT